TTGGATTTGAGGGCCCAAAAGAAAACGCACACCTTATTCAGTACATGATGTGTAAAAACAAATTGGAATGTCGATTGCTCAGATGGAAATGATGTGGAGACACTGAAATGTGTACACATACTAGCGACGCCTAATGAAGTCAAAGTGTAGTAGGAGGGGCTGAGCCTTAAAACCACAGGGGAGAAGCTCTGTGCATGGCTTACCCATCATGGTGCCAATTACACAGAGAAAATCATGAGAGTCGGGCAGGTGTCGGGCAGGCATCGGGATGATACTTGGCATGCCCAGTTTGCGTCCCAGCTGCTGCTCTCACAACCCACCATCCTGCACCCTGGAAAGTGGCAGGTGAAGGCACCAGTGCCACACTTACAGGAGACCTGGACTGAGTACTTGGCTCCTGGATTTGTCCCAGGCCAGCTCTAGCTGTTCTAAGCATTTGGGGGGATGAACCAGTAAATCAAAGAGCTCTGCTCTCCTTCTCTTCACATCTGCCTTTCAAATAACACAAATGTAACAAGAACACAACCATGAAGGCTGAACTTGGCACATGTCATCCACTTAACTCTTTCTTGTGATGTACCCCATGGATGAAGACTGCTTGGTATCCACAAGCTAGTGAACACTTAAAGCTAATCTAAATTGAGGTGTACTGGAAATGTAAATTACACTCCAGATTCCAAAGCATTAGCATTTATATATAATTAGAAATTCAGATTTGCAGAGAGGAGCCAGGAGCTTCTTCTGGGTCTCCCACATGGATGCAGGGTCACAAGGACTTGGGCTATCCTTTGCTGCTTTCCCAGGCAACAAGCAGGGAGCTGGAATGGAAGTGGAGCAGCTGGGATATGAACCGCTTTCCATATGGGATCCTGGTGCGTGCAAGGCGAGGACTTTAGTCACTAGGATTCTGTGCCGGGCCACTGTATTTATTTTCTAATTGGCAAATACTTGTATGCTTGTATATGTTTATGGTATGCAACGTTATGTTTGATGTACACAGTACATGATGGAATGATGGATTTATGATGCTTTTAGTTCTTTAAAGCTGTGTGTTTACTTGGAAGGTGGATTTAGAGAGGAGAGAAAATAGGGACCTTACCTTCTGTAGTTTAATCTCCAAATGGCCACAATGGCTGGAGCTGGGCCAATATGAAGCCGGGAGCCTTTTCTGGGTCTCCCACAGGGGTGCAGGGCCCCAAGGTTTTGGATCATCTTCTACTGCTTTTCCAGGCCACAAGCAAGGTGCCAGATGGGAAGTGGAGCAGCTGGGACATGAACTGGAACCCATGAGATTTTAGTACCAAAGGCAGTATAGCCTGTTAAGTCCTCTGGCAGGACCTTTTTAAAATTTTTTTTAAAGACTTGTTTTAATCTAAAGGCATATATACAGAGAAGAGAGTATCTTCCACTTGTTGGTTCTCTCCCCAAATGACCACAACTGCTGGAGCTGGGTGCGTCTGAAGGCAGGAGTTTCTTCCCGTTACCATATACGGACACAGGCACCCAACAACTTATGCCATCCTCCAGTGATATCCCAGGCCATTAGCTGGGAACTGGATCAGAAGTGGAGCAGTCATGACTGACTGGTGCCAATATGTGATGCTGGCACCACAGGCAGAGGCTTAACATACTGTGTCATGACGCCATTTCCTCCCACCTGCCTTTGTTTTTCTCCTAGACAGTTTTCACCTCCACAAGGGACAGTGGGTCAGTAAGTAAAGGTAAGTTCCAGATGAACATGCTAGGCCTCATTTGAAATAAAATGACATTTAAAATACCCAAAGGATCTAATTATGTTTTCTTCTTTATTCTACCCTCTCATTTCATGGATGCATGGCATCTTTCATCTCTGAAGGTGTAGAATTTTTTTTTTTTTGACATTTATTTTATTGGGGAGGCAGATTTAAACTTTTTTTTTTTAAATTGGAAAGGCAGACGTACAGAAAGGAGACACAGACAGATCTTCTGTCTGCTGGTTCACTCCCCAAGTGGCCACCATGGCTGGAGCTGAGCCAATCCAAAGCCAGGAGCCAGGAGCCTCTTCTGTATCTCCCATGTGTGTGCAGGGTCCAAAGTCTTGGGCCATCCCTGGCTAATTTCCCAGGCCACAGGAAGGGAGCTGGATGGGAAGTAGAGCAGCCAGGATATGAACCATTGCTCATATGGAATCCAGTCCTTACGATGTGAGGATTAACCAACTGAGCCATTGCACCAGGCCCACAGATGTGCAAATTCTACTCACTGTATGTCACTAGAGATTGTATTAGGTGTCTGCACGACACAGGTCCCAATGAATGATCCATGGTCACCATGTGGCTGGCACCCCAATGTACTGCTGTTTATGTTGTTTAGCTTGATTCCAATTAGATTGTCTGTATTCAAACTCCAGCCCCTGGTCATGGTTGTCAAGTTACCTAAAGCTGCTGTTGATGCTTAGGGACCATCTCTGGATATATGACTGACTGGCCACGTTTTAAGAGCGAGGAGAGTGAAACCATCAGCAACAGAACCAAGTGCTTCACTGAGTGAGTGAGAAATCTCACGGAGGCCTGCAAGAGCAGGGCAGTTCCCACCAGCCGTGGTGCCGGGCGAGATGAATATTTCTGCCACCTACTTTCAATTTTTCCACTGTGTTTGTTATTTACCAACCAGTTTCATTTAAAAAGAAATCCACCTTTGAATTTGGCACTTTGACTTCGTGGGTACATCCTAAGGAAACAAAGAACTGTAGCAGAATCTAACCCAGGAATGTTCACCCCAAACATGTCAGTGTACTTGGAAGTGCCCGGGTGCCAATGCTGTGGATTCTCCCAGTGTTAACTTTAGGATACGTGCAGACGCTGTCCAGCTGAGCAGCCACCATGTGAAATGCTCCAAGACTGGGAACTTTTCATCACCAGTATTCAAAAGCATTTCTTTTAAGATTTGGGATGTTCAAACCAAACTAGCATTAAACAGAAAAAGCAAAATATCTGAAGAGCTGCAGTTCAGCTATGAAGTCATTAAAAATATTTAATTCATATATGCAGCAATATTGTGTGACGGGAAAGAAAGCCTACAAAGCATTACGTGCCAAACAACTTCACTTTTCACAGAGTCAGAAAGCAGACTTTTGGTTTACTGCAGAGCCAGGAGGAACGGTTTAAGGCTCACGCTCACGTCCTGGATGTGGGATTAGTTCACATCCCGGTACTTCATCTAGAAAGGGGACTGGATAGAAAATTCGAGAGGAGGGATGAGCTGATGCTTGGGACAGCTTTGCTAGGAGGATATCTGAACATGGGCAGTGCAAAAAAAAAGGCATAGTATGCGATTTCTGGAATATCTTATGTTCTTTGACGATCTGTGTACTGCTGTAGCTTCCCATGGTATTGGCCTTTATGTCCAAACAGGGTGAAAGGAGGCTCTAATAGAAGTCAGAAAGCATCAATGGCAGGCTTTGCCTGGAACACGGCCCAACGGGCCACTCAGCAAGAACTCCTGGCTGCTTATCTCTGGGTGCCACTACTTTTTATTCTCTGTGAATTCTAATCTTCTCACAACATACACTACTTTTGTATTTTTTAAAACAACAATTTAAATACACAGAAAATACAGTCTGGACAAAAAATCACTTTCTAGCTGCAAGTTTTATGAAAACTACTTTAGTGACTGCAAAGGGAATTCTCAAATTTGAACTTAGTTTCCACTTACTGGTTATAGCAGATAATTTAGTCCAGTGATAGTAGAAAACTTCAAGATGTCCTCAAATTTCTCTTACTTTGGAATATACAGGTACTGTTCCACTTGTCCTATGTCCTAGTGATGTACTTAATCAAATTACCAGAGCCTTTACCACTGCCTCACAGGTCCTGGCTCCAGTGGGAATAATAATCAGTAATAATTGTTGATTAACACTATTATTAATACCATTACTTCCATAAGTATTTAAAAACATTTGAGAGAACAAGTGCACTCATCTGCTGGTTTATTCCTCAAACACCCACTATGGCTGAGGCTAGCCCAGAGATGTGGATACTCTGTCTGGGTCTCCAGACGGGAGGTAGATAGATACCAAGACTGGAGGCAACACCTGCCTCCTAAGAGAGTCATTAGCCGGTAGCCAGAATGGAAATTTAGACAAGAGACAGGATGAGGGGAGGGGTGAGAGATACAGAGAGGATGACAGACACAGAGGATGAGACGGAGGAAGAGAAAAAGAATGACAGAGAGGATGAGAGACAAAGACTGACACAGAGAGGATGGGACCTAGGACAGCGAGAGAGTGAGGGGGAGAGACAGAGGGTGAGAATTAGAACGAGAGTGAGACAGCCAGAGAAAGAGGCAGTGAGAGACAGTGGACGCATGAGAGGTGAAGAAAGCAGCAAGAAGGCGAGAGGGAGCATCAGCAGGGAGAGCAGAGGAAGAAAGCAGATGAAAGAAGAGGGAAGGAGAGGAGAAGAAGTGAGAGTGACAAGATGAGAGAGGAAGAGAGGAAGGAGAGAAGGAGATGAACAGGGAGTGAGGGACCAAGAGGGAGTGATAGGGTTAGGATGAGGCAGGGAGAGGATGGGCGGCGAGGGGAGTGGATAAGAGACAGAGATGATGAGAGTGAGGGAAGATGATGATGAAAGGCAGGATGTAGAGGATGGCAGGGAGGGAGAAGGAGGATGTGAGAAAGGGAGAGGATGAGAAGGAATGAGAGAGAGGAGAGCTGGAGGGGAAGGGAGGACAGAGGCAGAGGATGGGAAACACAGGGAGGGCGAGGATAGGACCACACGGAGACAACCCGCTTAGGTTTTTTTATGGAAGCAGCAGCCGATGGGCTGAACTTGTTGAGGGATTCTCTTCCCGCCTTACACCTCTGTAAAGGGCTTGGCTAAGGCCAAGCTATCGATGGGCTGTGCCCAAGCATGAAGATCAATGAGGAAACATGGAAATGATTGGTAAGCCTCTTGACTTTTATTAAATATTCTGAAATTTTTAACAGGCCATCCAAATTTATTTTTCTTGAAAGAAACTTTTTTTTTTAAATGATCTTTATTGGTCAAACAGTTTCAAACAAATCCAGAACAGGTTTTCACATTTTGGGCCTTTAGTTGTTTAGACACTATGTCATGCAGGAAGTAAAATAATGACTCATGGGCGCTCTCCCTGCCACCTTTTAACACTAGGATGACCAGGCAGAAGACGACGACTTATGGGACAGGAATCTGCTTGGAGAAGGACATGATTCAAACTGCATTAAGGTTTTTCTTACAACATAAATGAGCTTTGAAAAACTTAAGATTTCAACTTCTTAATTCCAAAACAACCCAAGAATCAGCTATCCCCTTAAATAAAAATAATAACAATAATAATCAATTTATACTCTTCTTCAAAGAACAGTTTAAAATAAGTTCCAATCCCATATATATATATATGTGGGATAAATATATGTATATATATATACATTTATAACTTAGGTGCTTCTGCGCTATGGACGCTCACTCATGTGACAGGGAGCGAGGCCTGGGCCCGGGGCCCTACAGGGGCCTTTCTGAGAAGGCGGTGTAGCTCCTCACCCTGGCGAAGAACAAGGGCGTGTACATTTTGTCAATCTCGAAAGCGCTGACCGCAGTCTCCCCGGTGGACCTGCAGAGCAAGCACACGGTCACCGGGAGGAATGGCTCCTTCCAAATGCTGCCAAGCTTGTAGGCGGAAGCTTAGGTTGGCCTTGATTTATGACTTACCTCAGTAAATCCTAAATGACACAAGCACATTGCAGAAAACTTGAGTTTTAGAAGATATAAAGATCTTCAATCCACTCATCAGACCCACTACCAGACTCATCAATCCACTACCAGACCCAGTCCTAGAAATATTTTTTCTAGTGTTTCTTGCCCACGCCTCAGGCTCTTTGGAGCTTTCTGATTGACCAGAGTGCAGCAGGACTTCCTCCTGCAGCTTAAATGATGGGATGTGTGCATTTCCCTTTGCAAAGCTTAGGCTCTTGGTGGTGCTTCTCAGCTCAAAGTTATGTTGTGGCATTTTTAACTGATTCTTGAAAGCAGAATTTCTAATGAAAGGCAAGAGACACTTTAAGGCTCTTAAGATATTTTAGGAAGAATTATTTTCCTGGATTAGAATTTGATATTTGCATGATCAGCAGTGACACTATAGGCAGAAAATCAGGGAACCAAGTTTTGCTCCCCCAATCATTTATATCCTTGCCTACCATGACAGAAAACAAATGAAAGCAGAAATCCAAGTGACTTTTTATAAATATTGCAAGGAAGTTGTGTCTTATAATAAGATGCTAACTCTGTGGAGTTCAAAACATCTATTTTTCCCTGCATTCACCTACTTGTAAGTAATGTGACAAGAATGATGTATCCAGATGAGCTTGTTGAACCTCTGGTGGCCGCTGGAGCACAGCTGTAGCCCCACATGGAAAGTCTGTTCTGCTTCTTGTACAGGGACACGACGGAAATATCTGTATTTGTAGTCAAGTGGCTTCTGTTTAAAAAAAAATGACATTTAGCTTACAAATTTGTAGTAAGCATTACATGCTACGCAAGTTATATGCTATGCAAGAATGACACTAAAGTAATATATTGAATCATCAGAGTGCCTTAAAAACTGTTACATACTTTAAAAATAAATGATTTTCTTGTTCAGTTAAATTCACATATAAAATGAGGGAGCTTCAAAATATTCAAGGAAAAGGGATTTAAAAAGATACTTTGATACAGAAAATTTTGAGATTGATAGTTTGAATATTCCATGAACTTTTTCTTTTAAAGATTTAGCCATATTTTGTTCAAAAGGCAGACAGAAGGAGAGAGGGAATCTGGCAAACTCCCCAGGTGGCTGCAATGGCTGGGCTGAACTGAACCAAAGCCAGGAAGTTAAGGACTTGGGCCATCTTCCATAGCTTTCCTAGGCCACAAACACATAGCTGGACGGGAAGCAGAGCAGCCAGGACACAAGCTGGCAACTGCATGAGATGCCAGGGATTGAAGGGAGAAGATTGCTTGTTGAGCCATGGTGCTGGCCCCAAACTTTTTTTTAAAGAGATTCCATACTTCCCCTAGTTACTAATATTTACAACTAATGACATATTTGTGTTAAGATTTAATTTATTTGAAAGGCTGAGTTAGTGGGGGAGAGAGAGATCTTCCAACCACTGACTCACTCCCTAACTTGCCTCAATAGCCAGAACCTGGAGCTTCTTTCCAGTCTCCCACGTGGGTTCAGGGACTCAAGCACCTGCACCATCTCCTGCTGCATTCCCAGGCCACAAGGAGGGAGCCACATTGGACTGGAACAGCTGTGACTTGAACCTGTACCCTTCAAGGTGCTGATGTTGCAGATGGTGGCTTAACCCAGTACAACACCATTTTCCAAAGCTCACTGGTATGCATGGATTTGAAAAAAAGTCTATACCCACAGTAAATCCTAAATTTCATGTCCATGAATTTTTTGACATACTCATATACTTTCATTATTTCTATTTAATCAAGAACCAATTTCAGATACTGGAAATCCAGCTTTTATCTTATACCCTAAATCAACTATTTTTTCTTTATTTATTTTAAAGATTTATTCATTTTCTTGGAAAGGCAGATTCACTGAGAGCCAGAGAAAAAGATCCTGCATCCTCTGGTTCACTCTCCAAGTGGCCTCAATGGCCAGAACTGAACTGATTTAAAGCCAAGAGCCAGGGGTCTCATTCAGGTCCCCCACAGGGGAACAGAGTTCCAAGGCTTTGGGCCATCCTCTGCTGTCTTTCCAGGCTGCAAGCAGAGAGCTGGAATGGGAAGTGGAGCAGCCAGGACACAAAACTTATTCTAAAAATTCTAAGGACAACAAATGCTTATCCCAATTATCTCCCAAAGATAAACCATCCTGGGTCTATATTCTGTCTCTTAAAAAGAACCAGAAAAGTGCAAATGGACAAAGGCTATGAAAAAACAACAACAACAAAAAAACAGATCCCCAATTTGAGAACTTGAAGCATTCTAGCATAACATCAGTAATTAAATTTGTATGGCACACTGTTCCTTTAAAAGAACGGAAAGCAGAAAATTTGCTATAGTGTATTTCCAGTAGGAATTACGTTAGCTGGATGGAAGTGGAGCAGCGGGAGCATGAACCAGGGCTCATATGGGATCCTGGCATTTGCAAGGTGAAGATTGAACCATTTAGCCATTGTGCCAGACCTATCCCTACATTTGCATGTGTAACAACATTGAACCAGAAAGAAATCCATGCTGAGAAAAGGAAGCTGATTCAATTAAAGATAACCACCTGTTAGAAAACTCTCTGGTTCTCTTCAGAGAAGTGTTACACAGTCTTTGTGAAAAGACACAGTAGTTTTTATTCTAATTGAGAATGCTTGAATGAAGAGATGACTGAACTACAAAAGCAAAATAAAGCAAAAAGACAAAACGCAATTCCACCTCACATACTCACTTCTTCTTTTTTCTTAGTTATTACAGCAAACACTTTTGTCTGATTGTCTATGTCTTGTGCTACACGATAATGACCCAGTAGAATTGCATCGGTTCTAAAAAACAAAACAAAATCTTATGATATATATAATAACAGATTTAAGACATAGAGAAAGTAATGAATAATAAGAGTGTTTCCTCAACCTGCCTGAAAAGAATGAGCTGGAATGTAAGATTTCATTTCATAGAACTGGAAGATGTGCAGAAGTAGACCTTCTAGGGCAAGGCCCAAGAGCCCCACCCTTCCACCCTTCCACCCCCTGCAAGGACTAGATATAAATAAAATATGGACTAGATAGGTCTAGAAAAATATTACCTGGTATTTCGAGTTCTTAAGCGGGGAACAATGGACTGAGGTTCCTCAGGGGTCGTCAGCATCATCACATGGCCGTCAGGAAAGAATCTTAAATACCTGTGTAAAAGGAAAACACACCAGAGCAGTGGTCATGGCACCAACCTATTCACAGGTGTGAAACCACAGCTGAAATGGCATGTGCCAAAGACCTGATAAAACATAAAAGTGAACATGGCTGACAATGTGTTAGTTCAGTAACATGGAACTAAAGACATTTCATTATCTTCCTTGGTTGCAACTGTCCATGTTTTAGTTTTATTAAATAAAAATTGGGTTAAATACTGCTCTAGTTGAAGTTGCACACTAGAGCCAGTGCCATGGTGTAGTATATTAAACCTCAGCCTACAGTGCAATCACCTCATATGGGTGCTGTTTTGAGTCCTGAATGCTCCACATCCATACAGCTCCCTGCTAACACTACTCTTGGAAAAACAGCGGAAGATGATGCAACTTGCACCCATGTGGGAGACCTGAAAGAAGCTCCAGGAACCTGGCTTTGGACTGGCTCCTCTCTGGCCATTTGGGGAGTGCACCAGCAGATCAAAGATCTCTCTCTGTAAATATGCATTTCAAATAAAAATAATTTTTTTCAAAAATGTTATGTGTGGGACCCAGCACAATGGCTCAACGGGGCTAATCCTCTCCTTGTGAACACTGGAATCCCATTTGGAAGCTGGTTTGTGTTCCAGCTGCCCCTCTTCCCATCCAGTTCCCTGCTTGTGACCAGGGAAAGCAGTCGAGGATGGTCCAAGGCTTTCGGACCCTACACTCACGTGCAGAAGTTGCGAGCTTCAGATCAGCTCTGCTTGGCCACTGTGGCCCCCTGGGGAGTGAACCAGTGGATGTAGGATCTTTCTCACCTTCTCTTTACTGATGTGCCTGTCCGATAAAAATAAACAAATCTTACAAGTTATACCTTTCTTGAAAGAGTGAGAGCCAGCAATACTCAATAGTTAATACACTTATTTCTCAAGTACAGTAATGTTTAGTAAACTAGAAGGCAAAAGACAAGGAGCATGCTGAAGGAACTGTGTGAGTCTAACCAGTTGGTTTTTTGGACAGCAGTTTATGTTAAATACTAGGTGAAGAGACTGCAGGCCACTGTGTCAATGAGTCAAAATCAATAGACAGCAGATGTCTGAATAACTAATAAACCAGTACTTGGAGAGAATTTTCCACTCACTCATTTTAGTACAGTTGTACCTGTAATATTCCACTTGGTGCCAGGCTCTATAGAAACCATCAAGAGACTGTTCCCCCTGACGAATGTATGTGGTCTTACTGATATACACACCTACAAAGAGAAATTTTTTTTATAAAAAGCATAATAATTTTTAAAAATTAGCATCATATTTTTATTGCAGTTGCTATTAAATATAGTACTTAGGTCCAACAGAGAAAATCAAAGCTAAGAGTTTGTTTAAATCAGTTTGAAAGATGATTTCTCCTGAATTCTACTGAGTCCAGCTTACCATCAAATCGAACACGAGGCCGCTCTAAAAACATCTCCCTCCAGGATGTGTACGGAACAAGTTTAATACTGCTTCTGCCCCAAACTCTCAAGCAAGCCAGACGCCAAATTTCAGGGTCTCTAAATAATATAAACACAAAATCAATACATTTAAGAGGCAAATCCTTAACATATGCAGACATATAGTTCTGCTATCACTCAAATTTATTCACTAAGTGTTTGATGAGCACCTATGACATACTCTTCCAAGGGCTGAGAGACAGAATTATTGCACCTCAGCACAAAAATCAATCAGCACCCCAGGGGTGGGGGTCCTTGACCATTCTGTGTGGTGGTTGCTGGGTCTGTGGGCCCTGCCCCCAGCTGACGCAGGCCCCATTGGACCTACACCCACAGGGTTCACAGGCCCAGCACCCACAGTGCAGTGGGCCCAAGGACCCAGGCCAGGCTTGGTACCATAGCAGAGGAAGAACAGAACAAATGGGACAACTACCCTAGCCAAATGATGATGGCAAATATCTAGGTCCATAGAGACTCTAAGGTTGACCATGTCAGCTAATGGACATTAAAAGAGTTCCCTCAACCTTGGATCAGTGAGATCAACAACATTTCAAAACTACTGAAACCACCTGGGCAGAACCTTCAGTGTATGCATCACATCGGGACCTTGGCTTGATTATCGGGTGGCCATTCCCCATCCCTGGGTACTGGGACAGTTGGGAGGCTGGGTGTGGCTTCTCCCCTTGGCCCCCCTACTTTCCCCTAACCCTTGATCTCACCCTGATCATCTATGTAAGCATCATCTAAAACTTTTAAAAAGTTAAAAAAAATACTGCAATTAATTTTAAATGTATCTACCCTCACTAAATAGGATCTATCCCAGAGAAGTAATGATGGCTCAACATATACAAACCAATCAATTATATTTCACAGAATGTAACAGAAAAATCAAATGATCATTTCAATAAATGTAGAAAAAGCATTCAATAAAATTCAACACCCCTTCATGATTTAAGAACACAAAGTACACCAAGTCATGAATGTAGGCAATGTTTTTTAACGCAACTAGGCCATATAGCATAAAGCAACAACTAACATCAGACTGAACTAGAACAAGCTAGAAGCTTTTCTTCTAAGATTTGCAACAAGACAAAGACAACCGCTCTCAACAATTCTATTCAACTAGTACTTAAGTCCTAGTCAAGGCCACTGGTCAGCACAAAGAAACAAAAAGCATTAAATTAACAAGGAAGAAGTTGAACTATCCTCATTTAAAGATTTCATTTATAGGAAATCCTAAATAAGAGGGCCCAACATAGCACTGGACTATCTCTTAGAACTTCCTTCCCAAGATGACAAAAAAGGAACAGCAATGAAGCAGTAATAAAAAACGGGGGCACAGCCACGTACAGTCTGTGTCCATGTATGCCCAAGAATAAGGCCATTAAGAAGTTCATCATTAGAAACATAGTGGAGGCCTGGCACTAGAAGCATCTTCCACGCTACATGTGAAACTGCATTACTATCTGAATTGTGCCATTTACATTAGAAATGAAAGCAAAGAAAGCCAGGAAGGACTGAACACTACTCCAATTTAGACCTGCCAGAGCCGTCCCATTGCCTCCACCAAAGCCCAGGTAAAGAGCTTCACCTGTAAAGGCTGAAGAAAAACTCTCAAAAGTTATGTGGAAGGCCAGAACTGTGGTGGACCGGGTAAAGCTACTTACTGCCTGTGACCTGGCATCCCACACAGGCTCTAGTTCATGTCCCAGCTGTTCTGCTTTCAGTTTGGCTTCCCTGCTAATGGCCTGGGAAAAGCAGTGAAATATGGCCCAAGTGTGTGGGACCCTGCCACCTATTTGAAAGACCCAGATGAGGTTCCTGATTTCTGGTTTCAGCCTGGCCCACTGGTAGCCATTGCAGCCATGTGGGAAGTGAATCAGTGGTTGGAAGATTTGACTTTCAAAATGAGTAAACAAATCTTTTTTAAAAAAAAAAAGTGTATCCAAAATATATAAAGAATTCAACTGCAGGAAAACAGTGATGAAAAATGGGCAAAAGGCATGAGCAAACATTACTCAAAAGACAAATGATGTATGAAAACTCAGCATAACTAGTCATCATGAAAATGCAAATTAAAAACACAATGAGATATTACTCCTTTCCTGTTTAAAATGGCTATTACCAGACAAAAAACATCAAGCTTTGGCATTGATGTAGAAAAAGGGAATCCTTATATATGGTTGATGGGAATGTAAATTAATAGTCATCGTGGAAAATAGTATTGCATTTCCACAAAAGGAAACAAAGGACTATCATATTGCATATTTAAACAGTGACTGTAGAGGCCTCAGTCTATCTAGATGTTCTCTGTGTTCTGTGCAGATGCCCTTGCAGCTAGCCACTAGATAAAATAACCTTTCAAGGTACCCTAAGAAGAGTGAAGTTTAAGCCTGAGGGCCACTGCACGAAGACTGATTCATGACCTACCTCATCACTAGCTTTTCCCAGTATACACATCATGAAACACAGCTCCCTTAGGTTATATGTCTTGGAATCAATAAGCAAGTCTGTTTACAGTTACCAGGAGTCCCTCACGTGGTTTTTATGATTTATTTGTAAGGCAAAGAGAAAAAGAGAGAGAGAGAGAGAAAATCTTCCATCACTAGTTTACTCCCCAAATAGCTACAACAGCTAGGCCAGACAAGGCCAGGAGACAAACTCCATCCAGGTCTCCATCCAGGGGCCCAAGTCTTGGGTTGTCGTCTGCTGCCTTGCCCAGGTGCATCAGTAAGGAGCTGGATGGGAAGTGGAGCAGGACTCAAAGCAGCACTCCTATGCGAGATGCCAGTATCTCAGGCAGTGGCTGCGGCCCCATGTTCTTCAATTTTTCATTCATATATGATTGATAACCCATAAACCTGTATTGTCTTAAACCTGATTCAATGCATGCACTTAGCCTTTTGCAAAAGTACAAAGTCTTTAACTGAATTTAGTCTTGCCAAACAGTCACTTCAGGCAACAGGACTGATTGTTCCCAAATTTTAGTAATTGATTTGACTAGCAGAATAAACTTTGATTTTTCAATGAGACTCTGATTATTTCAGAAAACAATATGATGTAGCCATCGCACTGCTGCGTATCTATCCAAAGGAAAGGAAATCAGCATAATGAAGAGTAATTTGTACTCCCATGTTTAGTATCATAAAAAACAATATACGAAATCAACATATGTGTCTTTTAGTGGGTGAAAGGAGTAAACAAAATGTGGTATACAATCTTATACACAATTAAACACTGTTTAGTCTTAAAAAGTAACAAAATTCTGGGGCCAATGTTGTGGCATAGCAACTTAAGCCTCTATCTGTGACACAAGCATCTGGTTCACGTCCCAACTGCTCCACTTTCCATCCAGATCCCTGTTAATGAGCCTGGGAAAGCAGTGAAAGATACTCCAAGTGCCTAAGCACCCACATAGGAAACCCAAAGTCAGCTCCAGGCTCTTGGCTTCAGCTTGGTCCAGGCCCTGCCATTGCAGTCATTTGAGCAGTGAACCAACGGATGAAAGAGTTCTCCCTATCTCTCTTCTTCCTCCTTCTCATAACTCTGCCTTTTATAAAGCTGAAACGCAAACTGTATGGAAGCAGTACATATGACATTCTACTATTACTCTATACCCTGGAAACCAAGCATGTAACCTTTAAATCACATTAAGTACAGCTTAGCAAAATATCTCTTCATTTTAAGCTTTTACCTAGAACACCAATCACATACTTTTGTGAAAATTTGCAAAAGACCCAAAAAAAAAGGAACAAAAAAAGAACATCTGTCCCACCTACCTTCCTCTATAACTCGACCCTCCCCACCTTGATCAGAGGTCCACATGGACATGCACCTCTCTCAACCATGTAAACAACATTAAAAATAAAATTCTTTAAAATTTGCAAAAGACCATACTCTTTTTTCCCCATTGCTTCAGTTGTTTTCAAAGCAAGCAAGTACCTGGCACAGATATAGAATCCTCTGCATACCAGGGACAACTGCTCCAACGATCGGAGGTCCAAGTCGCTAGAAACCACCCATCGGAAGATGTACATCAGGACCTCCATCGGCAGCACTGCAGAAGAAAACCACCCTTCTTGAGTCTTCCTTAGTCATCCCATCGTCACAGCCACTCTCCCAGTGCACTGTGCATCCCCAGGATTTTAGAAGCTAATACCTCATACCTTCAGAATTGCTCAGTGCCAACAGGAATTAACAGTTCCTAACCTAAGACTCAGATCCTCACCTTTTTCAGTATAGATCCGAAGCTTCTTTTCTAAAGCACCTTTTCCTTTGCAACACTTTTTTTTCACTGAGACATGTTAAAATATGTAAGAAAAATATTTCACTGTATACTTGTGAAATTCACATCATTAATACTTGAAAGCTATTATTAGTCTCCTTAAAATTTTTAAGTTCCCTTTCTCTGAGAAATTCCAATTAGACAATATTCAACACATAAAACAACACGTTCATGTCTGAAGACTCAGGCTGATTCGGGACTACTGCTTAACTGAAATGCTTCACCATAATAGTATCCCTCCAACCTTAGGGTTACCCCAACAATTCATGCTCCCTGCAAGGCCTTTTTTGAAATACGACATGCTTGAAGCACAGAAGTACTAATTCCACAAGGCTTCAGATTTCCCAAAGCTTTTCAGTTCAATCAGCAATTATAACTTCTTCGTCCACCCATGTTTTGAATGAAGACATCAGCTACTTACCCACATAAGCCTAGAAAAATTCAATCTAATGTCAAGTATCCTGAGATGTGGACTGCACATGCATACCTGATATGTGAGTCTGACTGCTCTCCAACTCCGGCTGACACAGTTTGAGCACCGACTCCTGAAACGTGAGTTGCTGCTGGAAGTAGGACAAGAGATCCTCCATCTTGCCATCATCATCATTATCTTCTATGCTGAAATGTGGAGAGCAGTGAAAACACGAAGTGCTTTTTCCATTCAGAAACTCATTTTTCATAACATTGTCAAATCTGCTTTAGAAAACTCACTTAAAAACAGTCTTGTTATTTAACAACAACAAAAAAGTGATAACTGTTTATCCTGCCTTGAAAAGGAGTACTGTATCACGTTTTTCAAACAAAAATCTTTACTAATTAACACGCAGAAAGACTTAGGATCTTGGGATACAAGTGTTGAGATTTAAATGCTCAGCTTTTGTGCAGAGATTTCATCAGCTATCACAAAAATGTCAAATTATGTCAAAAGCTTTTGCCAGTAAGTGATCTTAAGCCACTCCAAAATTTTTTTGAATAAAAATCAAATACGGACATGTCATCTTAAGTACTTACCAAGATTTTTCTAATAGATGTGCCTTCTTAACTAAATATCTAATTTGAAAAACTTCTTAGGGTTCACAAGTCATCTACTAACACATTTAAGTGTGTAGTTAATAGTTCTTAACAACAACAACAAAAAAGAGCTAACTTCCCATTTTTTGCTTACACTAACCAGTAAAGATGATCAGACTTAGCAAAAGGCTTCGGTTTGGATAAAATTAGAAACTAGGAAGTAAAACACATTTTACTGGCACAGGAAAACCCAAAAAACAAAACAAAACAGAAAAATTCTAAGTTAATCATGAGATTTGGTAAGGAAAAAAATGTTTACATCTTACAGGTTATGAATTTGTTTAAATGGCTGGGAGAGAAAGAAATGCTTTCTTGAGTGCTTTAATGCAATCTTCCTTAACAGCACTCGAGACTATTTATAAAACTGGGTAAAAGCTAGATGTAACAAATTTAAAGAACATTTAGAAAAAGTTCAATTTTAACTACAAACTGCTTTATATTACTAACTCTAATTTGGTGAATACCATCATTAACCAAAAAAGTTCAGATAATTAAAACTGACTTTATTGGGATGACTTTGATATGGCTAATCCAAAAGGTTAAGTATTAATACCAAATGCAGTTACACACACTTCCAAATAAGCATATTAGGCACAAAGGCAACAACTTGCAAAATTTTGAAAGGTAACAGCTTTTTGCCAAAATTATTTTTCTTATATTATGGTTATTAAATCCGGAATTTTTTTAGAGATACAAACTCCCTTCCCTGCTAACATCAACACATAACACTTTTCAGGAACAAGGGATTAATGTAAATTTTCTAGTTCTCTTACAAACCGTTTCTTTTTTTTTTTTTTTAAGATTTATTTATTTATTAGAAAGTCAGATATACAGAGAGGAGGAGAGACAGAGAGGAAGATCTTCTGTTTGATGATTCACTCCCCAAGTGAGCTCTACGGCTTTAGCTGCTAGGCCACGCCGCTGGGCGTGTAGTTTTAAAAATACTTCTCGCACATGGCACGATAGCGTAATGGTTAAAGTCCTCGTCTTGAACATGCCGGGATCCCATATGGGCTACGGTTCTAATCCCGGCAGCCCCGCTTCCCATCTAGCTCCCTGCTTGTGGCCTGGGAAAGGAGTCAAGGACAGCCCAAAGCCTTGGGACCAGGAAATAAGTTCCTGGCTCCTGGCTTAGAATCAGCTCAGCACCGGCCGTTGCGCTCACTTGGGGAGTGAATCATTGGACAGAAAATCTTCCTCTCTGTCTCTCCTCCTCGCTGTACATCTGCCTTTCCAATAAAATTAGCCAGGCAATGAAATATGATTCCTTTTAAGAACGCTTAAAGCCTATACTGGTACATTCAAAATATTATTTTAGAACTTTAATGTTTTGCCCACACATATTAAGAGAACAAAGTCTTGCTATAGTTAAGCATCAATCTAATAAAATTAAAAACAATTTTAAAATATAAACCTTAAAAATATATGAAAAGGGCCCGCCCGGCGCAGTGGCGCAGTGGTTAAAGGTCCTCGCCTTGCACGCCCGGGATCCCATATGGGCGCCGGTTCTAATCCCGGCGGCCCCACTTCCCATCCTGCTCCCTGCCTGTGGCCCGGGGAGGCAGTCGAAGACGGCCCAAAGCTTTGGGACCCTGCACCCACGTGGGAGACCCGGAAGAGGCTCCTGGCTTCAGATCAGCATAGCATCGGCCCGTTGTGCTCACTTGGGGAGTGAATCATTGGACGGAAGATCTTCCTCTCTGTCTCTCCTCTCTGTATATCTGCCTTTCCAATAAAAATAAAATAAATCTTTAAAAAAAAAATATGAAAAGACTAGTCTAATGAAATTCCACATACTCATCATACAAGTTCAACTATTAACATTTTTTTTTAAATTTAACCTAATTACATGTGAATATTTTTTATATTAGCTGGGTCTCAGAAAGTTTAAACATGGCTAATTTATTTCCAATAGTGACTCTTGTATTAAAAATAACATTTTATCTCAATTTTGCTATTTCTATTTTAAAATGTGCATTAATATTTTAGTCTTCAAATTTCCCCATTTACAATTTTTCTACAGCTTTTATGAACAAGGATATACTACAGACTATGCAGGTTAACAGAATTAGCACCATCTTCTATCACATTAAGGGTCAACAGGGCAAAGATTCTTAATGTTAACAAACTCTATGCATTACTGTCTATCAAATTATATACGCACTAGCTGTTTCCAACGCCATCACCATCTGGAGACCGGGAATAAGTAATCTTGAACTCTATATCAGGAACAAGTTGCATAGCCCTACGATAAAACTTGATGGCTAAAAGAAGAAATAAAACTAAATTAGTTATGACCACACACTTCAGCAATTTACCTTTAACTGTGGTTTAATTTGGTAACTTTTTAACAACCAAATTATCTTTTTATACATGCAACTCAGTAATTCAATGAATCAACTTGCTTCCACATTTTTTACTACTCAGAAAGAAAAAATTTTAAAGGGTAACGTGGTATTAAAACTGATGATGCTATATTTTACTCTTTTATTATAGCCCTTCCCCCCTCATTTTCCTTACCCACTCACACACAAACAGAATTGATTTTACATGGTTGCTTTTCTTCAGTGTCTGAAAATGCAATGGCAATCACCCCAACAGAAATACTTGTACACAAACCACAAACTTCAAGGACAGAGTTGGACATAAATACTTCCCTGAGGGAGAGTTTTCTGGAATTTACCCTACAAATCTAACTTTCTTTAGCCAGACTGTCGCTCATTCAGTTAAGCTATAATATTCAGTAATAAGCTCTCCTCATGAAGATATCTCTCTACAACCTACAGCTGTCATACCTAACTCCTTTTCAATACAGTCTACTCAGTTCCATATACAAGCATTCTATCTATATTCTATTATTCTGGGTGAGTTACTGTATGCCAAGTGCAGATGGGAATCTGCACAGACACTCAACCACCCGGACACTTTTAAAATCTTCCAAGAAATATCCGTACAACAATCTTGCAAATAAATGCGGTAATTCAGGGAGTATTTTCAAACGATTCAAACACAGGTGTTTCTCCCAAGCCTCGATGTGTTTGCTATCGTAAAATAAAAGTGTAATTCCAAACCTACCACTATAAATAGGTCTATAGTTTTGATTACTAACACATTTCTATTGGATTATTAAAACAGACAAAAAGCCAAAGCATATTGCTTTAGTAAAATACAAACTAATCAGAAAACAAATATATGCTCATCTGATCAATTAGATTCCCCTGTATGAAGTAATTTTCACCTATAAATGGAAGCTATCCTATTTTAAAATGAATACAATTCATTCATGAGAAATACTAAAAGTACAGAAAACATTATTTTTTATCTGTCAACATATTCCCCAATAATATATTTTAAAGATAGGTTATGCAAATACACAATTTTTTATTCAAAAAAATTTCAAAATTATGACACTATGACAAATATGTTCTAGTGAAAAAAGAAAAAATATAGTAAAGCTGTTACTCATAAATCCCACTACAACCAGACCCTCAGCAATGGGGTTTTACCTTCGTAAAGAGCTCCATTCCGTTCTTCCTCTACTGCTTTTAGAAAGAGTTCTCGAGCCTATAAAAATTGAAAAACAATTTTTGAAAATGTGTATTAACAAGGAGTATGGGGACCCATACTGAGGTTCAGGCGGTTAAGCAGCTATCTGCGATGCCAGCATCCCTTCCCCTCCAGCACCTGCTAACACCTATGGGAAAACACTGAAAGATGGTCTGAACACTTGAGTGCCTGCCACCCATGTGGCATTCCAAGCACTTAGAAAGGCCTGGCCCAGCTGGTCATAGGAGAAGTGGTCAGCATAAAAGCTAAGTAAATCAATATTTTTGTTTTACTTTAAGGTGTGTCAGTGGCATAAGCAGCCTTTCTAACAAACGATACTTAGAGCAAGTAAATATCAGTAGGCAAAATAATTCACCCCGGAGGTTGGCTGTTTGGCACAATTCTTAATATGCTGCTTGGGATTCCTCATTTCACATTACAGTGTCAAAGTTCAAGGTGTGGCTGTGATTCCAAGTTCAGTTTCCTGCTAACATGCACCCTCGTAGGAAGTGGCTGATATCTTGGGTAGTTGGCTCCATGTCACTTACATGAGAGGCAAGGGTTGAATTCTGAATCCCTGGTGTCTACCTGTTTCAGCCCCAGTAATTGCAAGTGTTTGATTGGTAGTTAACTCATGCATGGGAGCTCTCTCTCTCCCTGCTCTTCAAAAAAACACCCCCATACCAACAAAAGAAAATAGTCATTTTGACCCTCATATAAAAATGGAAATGGATCATGAACTTAAATGCTAAATCTGCCTACAAAACTTAAAAAAAAAAAAAAAACAAAGAAAATCTTATAAGACACAGGATTAGGCAAAATTCTGACACGTGACACCAAAATCACGATTCACAAAAGGAAATGTAGATAAACTGAACCTCATCAATACTGAAAATGTGAAATTCCCCATTAAGAGGATAAAACAAGCCACACACTGGGAGAAAATATTGACAAGTCACATATTCAACACAAGACTTGCATTTAGAATACATGAATTCTCAAACCTCAACAGCAAAAACATAATTAGAATAGCACAGATATTTCAGAGAAAATATGCATAGGGGAAATAAGTATAGGAGGAAGATATTTAAGTTCATTCGACAGTAAGGAAGTACAAATTAAAATCACAATGATCTATCATTACACAGAGATCAAGTCACTAAAATTAAAATCAAGTCACCAAATGCTGATGAGACGCTGGCACACACTGATGGTGGGAAAATGGCACATCTGGAAAACAGTTTGGCAATTTCCTTCAAAACAAATGTGCACTTGCCATAGAGCCCAGCAACTACACACTTGGGTATTTATCCCAGAAAAAATGAGAGTTTATTTTTGCCCAAAAGACAGCACCAAAGATTTATAATAACTTTAATCATAATAGTCCCAAATTGGAAGCAACTCAAATGTCCTCTAAGCAAGTAATGTGGTTTCAACAAGCAAGGTGCATCTTTATTACAGAGTATACCACCTGCTACATACAGATACATACATAACCTAGATGGGTCTCAACAGCTTTAGGTCAAGTGGAGAAGGTTTATCTCTAAAGGTTGCATACTGTACGACTCTAGTGATAAAATACTCTTGGACTGTTGCAACTATAAAATGGAGAACATATCAGTGGCTACCAATAGGAAACAGGGAAAAGGAGAGTAAAACAGTCCTTGAAAGATGTCTTAATCAAAATGGAGTCACAGGGTCAGTACTGTGACATAGCGGGTTAAGTGCCATCTGCAATGCCAGAATCCCATACGGGCTGGGCATGAGCTTGCGTCCTAGTTGCTCCACTTCCGATCCAGTTCCCTGCTAATGGCATAGGAAAAGCAGGGGAAGGTGGCCTGTGTTTGGGCTGCTACCACCCACACTGGAGGTCTGGAAGAAGCTTCTGGCTCTGGCCTGGCTGTTGGATGTTGCCATCATCTAAAGAGTAAACCAGTAGATGGAAAATCTCTTTCAAATAAATACATTTTTTTAAAAAGTAGAAACAAAACTGAGTCACCTCTGGAAAATCAAGCTGGAAATTAATGAAGGGATGAATTCACGCATGGTTTATTTGTCAGATGAGAAGATCTACCATAAGAGACTGCCAGAGCTACAACCTTGCAGAGACCATCCAAATATGACACAAGGGATACTTCTGTAAGGGCAGCTGCCCAGCAGTCCTTGGTCAACACTGAGCTGATGCTACCCTCCCCTTCCTTTAATAAAGATTTCTTTTATTTTTATTGGAAAGGCAGCTCAGATTTATGGATAGGAGGAGAAACAGAGAGAAAGATCTTTTGTCTGCTGATTTAACTCCCCAACTGGCTATAGCTGAGCCAATCTGAAGCCAAGAGCCAGGAGCCAGGAGCTTCTTTCTGGTCTCCCTCATGGGTGCAGGGTCCCAAGGCTTTGGGCCATCCTTTACTGCTTCCCCAGGCCACAAGCAGGGAGCTAGATGGGAAGTGGAACATTCGGAACATGCACCAGACCAGTATAAGATCATGGCTCTTGCAGGGAGAGGATTTACCCAACTGAGGCATTGCACCTGTTTCAAAATAACTTATGTAATCTTTTTCAGTTTACCTTTGACAACCTTTGCCTTCGTCTCTGAACGGACTTAAAATTTATCATGACATGAATATTACAGCTTGCAATCTTCTGCTTATTTCTGAATATTACCACTGCAGAAGATTGGGTGAAGAGTGCAAGGGACTAATCTGTACCTGTGAATCTGCTAATATGTTGAAATAAAAATTAAAATTGAAAAGCCTGAAAAATTTTAGTCATTATAGTAATGTCAATTCTTTGGTGACTAACTGCAAATGAATATTGGATTTGATGATGTAAAGATGACAGCTTCCATCAGAAAACAATGAAATGTGAAAAGGCGTGCTATGACTACAAGAACCAGGAAAGGGATGAACTGGCAGGCAGCATTCAAGCACATTTTCAGAATGCACACTTGCAAGATTTTTCCAAAATAAAGAATATCATTGTAATATGTTCAATAAAAGGCATAAAATTAAACCGCTTGGAAAGGTTTCTGTTGATTCAGAGACATCAATCAAGTAAATCTCAGAGGTATGTAAATGAACAAAAGACATATCCATGAAGAACGCACAGAAGCAACACTATCCAAATATGTAGAAAAAGTAGCAAAGCACGTACAAACATGATATCAACATTCTTCCATATGAAGAAAAACTACATGTCATGTACACGTCACTACACGATGACAATATGATGATGTCTTTAATACTTAACTCTTCTTCTTTTGCCAGTTCCTGTTTTCCTTTGGTATCTGCTGCTGCTTTCAGTTGAGAACCTCTTGCTGTTCTGCAAGGTCGTGTTTCTAAGCTGCTAGTGCCCACACCTGGGGCAAGTTCAAACATCCACTGAGCTCGGAACATTTGGAGTTGCGCCTAAAAGGAGACATGTGTTTCAGGCTTCACTGGAGCAGGGTGGCATAGCTCTGGAACTTACCAATGTGCCCAACATCTACTCTCAGGCACAGAGTTATCATTTCAAGATCAGAAAACAGTCTCTTAAATTACCCTTAGCCACTAAACTTCTGTTATCTCTCAAACTAACCCTCTGCTTAAGACATTCAAGACCCATGAAAATTGGTTTGAAGTTAGTCTTTCTATACAGCAAAAGTCTAATGGTATTGGGAGAATTAAACTTCAGTTAGAAATGCATGTGAGTCATCACTTAAACCTGTATTTGCTAGCTTCAAATAATTAAGGAAAGCATCATTGGGAAGACATTAACAGTACTGCCAAAAACAAAAGATTCTACAGGTGAGTCCAAAGTCTTTCCTTTCATAATCATGGTTTCAGAAAGGGAGTTATTTTTTCCCCCCAACTAGTTATTTAAAAAATGTTACAAGAGAAAGGGAAGGGCCTCTGGGTGGCAGGCTGGTTTGCTGGTCAGATTCCCCCATGAGCAACAAAGAACCTGTGGCCCACCTTCCTGGAGTTCTGCCTACAAACATCCTGGACTGGTCAGCCCTGCTGAGAACTGCCTCTGCAGGACCACAGTCTTCCCAGGCCCCACCTTTTATCATTGATGGCAGATAAAGGCCTGGCACACTCTGCTCTCACTCTCTCACTGCAATTCCGGCCAGCTCTAAAAGGCTTCAGAACTCCCACGGGGCAGGCACAGGCAGCCCTGAAGGCTGCTTTGCAGCTAGCTGGCCTTCTCCCCCTGACCACCGCTGCCCTCCTCTCTCCTCGCACAGCTTTGATTCCAAGAGTGCTCCCTTCTCAGTCTTCCACACAGCAATCGACTTGGTCAACCAAGCTGAGGCACGTCTCCTCTCAGACAGGGCTGTAGCCAACAGGATCAGGTTTATTACTCTCAGCTTTATGCTTTTTTAGAGGCACATATCGATGTTTTAAAAATATTCTGCTCTCCATTCTGTGCACTGCTTTGGTTCCCAATCCTCTTCCAAACAAGTTTCACAAGCACAGAGACTCAGGTTGTCTAACATGATAAACATTTTTGCACATGCATCCTTACTTTCCCCATTTCCTCAGAATTAATCCGGAAGCACAACTGCTGTGTTTTTCACTGCAATCCACATTGCCAGCCTGCCCTTTGGAAAGCTGTGGTAATTTACCCTCATGTACAATGTATGAGTGTTTTCATCATCAGACATTATCCATCAAACTGATTACATTATTGATGAGACTATCTCTCCAAATGCTTAAAGGCCACTCACATGACTTCATCCATTAACTGTCATTCAGTTTTCTGTGTTGCTCTTATTAATTTATAAGAGTACTCTACACGGGCAGAATGTCAATCTAGAAATCCCTATGTTGTAAGTAGCTTCTTCCAGGACCATTCTTCAACTGGATTAACGTCTTTTGTTACATATAGCTTTTAAATGTTTACATAGCCAAACCTATCAAACTTTTCTTTAAGGTTTTGAGTTGTGCTTAAGCCTCAATCTGAATACTTTAAACCCATACATTAAATTACATGGTAGCAATTATTTATATTCCCTTTTCTAGAAAACAATGCAAATTAAGAACTTACATAATTATTCCGTAATTACAACCAATTACTGCAAATGGATGAGAACTGATAGAATGAGAAATAAATATGTAATTGAAGAAACATGCCTGCAGGTCTGTTTCAGCAGGACTCTCATTTTCGTCAGCGTTGCCTGCTCTGTCGGTATCAGAATGACAATCTTCCTCAGCTTCTGCCTGCCAGGGAAGAACCCACATGGTATCAGCAGCAGGTACACAGCAGTCTCCTTTCTCTCGGGGGCTTGCTGCTGGGGCAATGGCTTGCAGAACTCGGTACAGCAGGGATATAGGATGCATTTGGGAAAATAAGCATACAATACATATTTTCTGCTCCAAACCATTTTTAACATCACCACCAACCTTAACATTTGCTCCCAAACAGAAAATTTCAGATTTCTCTTCATCCAAAAAATTACATGTAAAACAATTCAGATTCATTACTATTCTTAAGTGATGCAACTCAGTATAAAATAAATTCCATTATTAACATATCAATGAGTGTTAAGTATCATAATCTATACTAATAATTTTCATTTCAAAAGTTCAGTAACAAAACAAGTGGCTTGTTAAAGACTTTTTTAGAAGAAAAATATTTAAATAAATTAACCCCATGGTCCAATTACAATAATTATTGATGATGCATTTCACGATTTGTGAGATCAAGACCTTAATAAGGTCTACATAATGCAATTGGTTGTTAGGATTTCAAGGATTAGGTTATAATTCTTTGTTTCATATTATTTATTTGTTTACTTATTTATTCATATTGGAAAGATGGATTTACAGAGAGAAGGAGATACAGAAAGATCTTCCACCTCCTGGTTACTCCCCAGGTGGCCACAATGCCCAGAGCTGAGCCAATCTGAAGCCAGCAGCCAGGAGCCTCTTCCAGGTCTCCCACACAGAGGTAGGGTCCCAAGTCTTTGGGTCCTCTTCTACTGCTTTCCCAGGCCAAAAACAGGGAGCAGGATGGAAGTGGAGCAGTGGGGACACAAACCCACCACCCAGTGGAGGAAAGGCGAGGATTTAATCACTAGGCTATTGCACCAGGCCCTGTTTCATACCATTATTTGTGATAAAACCAGGTGATTTTTCTGCAAGGTTGAGATTTTGCTGAGTAATAAGTAAATATTTTCCTTTGTCATCTTACTCTCCATAAACTGTGGCTGGATCTGTAGATAGGTGATGTTGTTTCTTATCAGGAAGTGTTCTGAAATGTGGTAGAGGTTGAGCAAGTACCTTGGCAGATGTCCCAAACACAACTGGGTCCCCTTGAGGACAAATAAACCCTAGCAATTTTCATGTCCATAAAGGGTCAGCAGTTCCAAAACTGAATATGCTATGTTTCCTGTTAAGCAGATACAAAGTTGCTTCTCTCCAGCTAAAGTGAATTACACCAAGCAGATAAATTCATACTGCTTTTTTTTTTAATCCCCGTAAAATTAAACAATTTGGGTGGGCTCTAATTTAAATGCTTTGCCAGGTGGTTAAAAATAAAACCTTTGCTTCAGAAAATAGTTAACAGTTCAGCATACAGCTTTGTTATAGGAAATATTATTAAACATTTCTATACATGACTGTTACCTGTTCATTAACATATTCAAATGTACTAGGAAGATTTGGCACTAAGAGGATTACAACAGTGAATGCTTTCACAAGAAATTTTTTTTTTAATCCAAAAAATACAATTTTTGGATATGGGATAGACCTAAGGTGGAATAAAGCTGGACTGGAATTTGTGCGGCCTGGGGCTTCACAGAGATCCCACACCAGATTCTCTGGTCCTTTTTATTCTTAGTGTTTAATAAACCGAATCCCACCTTGCAATGACAATGAGATGTTGCTTCAGTGCAGTCTGTTGGATAATAGCCTTACTGGCACACGGAACTTGTGCAATCCTAAATGTGCTCAGGACTATACAGGAATGTGATAATCAGAAAAAAAAAAAAAAAAAAAAACTTGCAAGCCAGCTAGAAATAAGAACAGGAAAACCTGCTCAGTTTTACTAGTTCCCAAGATGTTAAGCTTTCCAGTGATAAATTTTAGCTGTAAGTTGTTGTTGGGAAAAACATGTCTGTCTGAACACAGATCACCAAACTTGGCAGCCAGACATGCTCACATCACAGAGCAGCATAAGTAAGCTTTGCTCTCTGTTTTATCTCACGCAACCAGATTCAAAGCCGAGCTGCCTTGAGAACATCATAAAAGATAAATCAGTAAAGAAACCCCTGAGAGACCAAGAACTTGTGTGAATTTCCAGAAAACTGCAAAGTGTAAGTATTAATGTACTGCCAATACATTTCCCCCAACCCCCAAAAAAGCTCTTAACGAGCTTTCCCTACCAAGACCTCCACAGGCAGAAAAATACATAATGAAGGAAGCCATATGTGTACAGCACATGACCGCTTGGCAAGCAGGTATCTGTTCTGTCAGGTAAACACCAAGCTACTGAGCCTTGCAGGGGCTGCCCTCAGCCTTCTAACTCCGGCCTGGCAGTCCTAGGGAATGGCCTTCTAGAACTTTCCCTTCTCTCCTCAGTCTGTCCTCTGACATATGCTGCTCACACTCCTCCCTCTGTAATGCCCCCTCTCTCTCCTTCGCTCATCCCTCAAGACAGCCCAGGGGTCACCTTAGATGAGTTTTCAGTTGCCTACAAACTGCCCCTTTGTCTTCTGACATCTGCATCCATGTTGTATCTACATATGCCTACTTCCTTCAGAGTTTCATGCAGTGAAGGCACACATCACATCTTAGTCATCTCTGTAACCTTATGGTCAACACATTTTTGCTTGATTCACAGTAGCAGCCTGGCCAAGCCTCACGTGTCTCATTTGCAAAGAGAGATATCTGTGAAAAGGTTTTATGATTCCCAAGGTTCCTTTCTGCAGGTGACATTTCACATTTGAAAGTTTCTAGGCGCAGGCGTTTAGCCAATGGTTAAGATGTCTGTGTTCCATCCTGGGGCACCTGGGTCCCCACCCTGTTCCAGTTCCTGATCCGACTTCCGGTTAGTGCAGTCACTAGCAGGCAGTGGTGATAGCCCAAGTAACCGGGTGGGCTGTTACTATCCAATCCAGGGATACCTGGATTGAGCCCCAGCTCCCACCATTTGGGAAGTGAACCAATGGCTGGAAGTTCTCATTCTCTCTTAAATAAGTAAAAATTGAGGGGGGGAGGGTGGAGGCAAAGTTTATCCTAAATCATTTTACAGGTTTGGCTATACTGAAGGTCTAATAGGTACTAGAGTCTACAGTATGCCATAAGAAGACAAGTAATCAGAAAAAAATTGGCTGAATGAGGAAAATGCCATACAGGTATTTAATGCACACCCAAGGACGATAAAACAGGAAACCTGTAACACAAACAGCATCTTTTCTTCTCCCTTGAACTCCCATTTAACACTTTGCTTTTTGGCAGTAGGACCACAAGAACATCACATTTGTGATAAACAGGTCTTTGGCTACCACTCAGGTCTTTTCATCTTTCACATTTGAGTTTGACCTAAATATCACCTTTCAATAGCTCAAGTCGTCAGCATTTCACAGGGTGGGATTAAAGAGACATAAAGGTTCAGGGTTTTACTCTGGTGAGAGAAGGCCTCCTGAGAGCTTAGGATCAGAATCAATGGGTGTTTCTCCTATACGCCAGATTAAAACCAGAAGCAAAGTTCAGCCATTTATTTGATGACTATTTGAGCAAATAAGTTTGCAATCATTTCGTACTTGATTCATTCGGCGTTCAGTTTCTCAAACGCACAAGGTACCCCTAGCCCAAGAAAGAGAGGGCCGAGACTGCATATTCCAGTATTACTTGCACTGTCCCAACTGGCGGTTGCCTAGCTCAGCCTCTCCATTTGCACTGCACAGACGCTCCTCAGGCGCTCTGCGTCTTGCAGCAAGATCCTCGCCAACTCATCGGGCCAGGACAGCCTGCCTGCCAATATCCTAGCTAGGGCACTGCCGCCTCACAGGCAGCAGGTGCGACTCACACCCAGGACTCCTGGGGTGGGTTCCTGGAATGGACATTGTGGAGACCCGGCTATGCAGAAAAGGAGCAATCAACAAGTGTCTCTCGCTTGCCGGGGCTCCCTCCCCAGTTCAGGTGCTGTTTTTGATGTAAAAGTGAGACAGCTTTAACATCCCCGGGGAGCAAAAGGGGCCCTTTGCTCCGCCGTCCCGTAAACCCTTGCTTCCACAGCGAGAGCTCGGCTGGGAGGGTGTCCAGCAGGACGAATCGGAGGAGCGGTCAGGGCCGGCACCCCCCTCCGAGGCCAGGGCCCTTTTAGGGGGTGCTGGACGCGCGGCTCCCTCTCCTCCCTCTGACCACCTCCCGGGACCCAGGCCCTGCCCCTCCGGTCCCCTGACCCTCCCCGGGTTACCATGCTGGCGGGGCCGCAGTCCAGGGGCCCTCCGCACCGTCCCCTCGGAGGTGGGTGCTGGGTGTCCGGGTGTCTACTCCTGCCTGCCTGCTTGCAGCGGGGCTTAGCAGAGTTCTCGGTCGGAGAAGCGCACCAGGCAGCGGCAGTAACTACGGGCCCGGCGTACGGCAGCCATCTTCGCGGGGCAGGGGGCCAGATCGGGGCGCGCTGGAGCCGCCGGGGCCTCGGGGAGCGGAAGAGCGCCCGCGGACAGCCGAGAAGGACGACTGCGAGGAGCAGCGGCGCCGACCCTGCTGCAGACCCCGAACGCCGCGGCGGAGCAGCCCTCTCCTCTGCCAAGAGCTGCGCGCCGCACGGAGCATGCGCGAGGCGGTGTCCGTCCGTGCGCCCCGCCAGGCTCCTCGGCCGGCCCGCGGCCCCGCGGTGCACGAGGCGTGTGGGGTCGGGGTGAGGCTGCTACGCCCCCAAACTGCGGAGTCGACGGCTGCGGCTCGGGGACTGTTGAGGCCAGCCTGAACACGAGGTAGCTCGAGAGGGTTGAGCCCTTAAGGCGCGGCGGACTGGACGCTTGGGATGGTGGCTGCACGGCCCTTGGCAGGCGCCTTGCGGCAGTAATGTGGAAAACTGTGGAACTCCGCAACAGTCCCGGGAAGTCATAAAGGTGAAGCTTTCCAAAAGCACCAGTCTTTAGGAATTGAGGCCAGAATGCGTTCAGGTGCGTAACAGGCGGGAGAGCAAAACTACAGCCAAAACGGGGCAAGTAACACTACAGATCCCATAGAGCAATGCGGGGAGGACGTGTGGCTCCAAGACTCTGAAACCCAAGAGGGGGCGGAGACTGCTTCCGCAATGCATTCTAGGGTTTGTAGTTCGCTGTTGCGGGTTGAGTGCCGGAACTTACACAGGGGCCTATTTCCACCTCTTAAAGCTGAAACACCTGATTGCACTTCAAGTGAAGATCCCGTCTATCAGGCTGTGTTTTATTTCCCCGAACTTTGAATCCTTTTCACTAGGCAAGTTTGCATATTCAATGAATACCTACCTTTATTCACTTTCACTTGCAAACATTGAATTTCTGAAGTTTAATACCCACTGTTAAGGATGCCAAGATCTTAGCTTCAACAAACTCATGCTATCTAAGTTTAGGTTTTCTTATTTTGTTCTGGAAACCTTGGAAAGCCTACACACTCTTTGGCTGTGAAATAAGGAGATAAAGAAAAAAAGGAGCGAGAATAGTGAAGTAGAAACATCTAAGTGCCATATCAGCTCCCCATAAAAAGTAGCTACATAATTAATAAAGGCCAAAAAAAATGTATTAGGTTTTAAGTTTTAAAGGAGGCTCTGAGGGCTTGGGTCTTGTATAATTAGGTTTTGAAATTTAATTTGAGAGAGTTAAGTCTAAGGATTTGTAATAGAAAAAAATAAATGAGGCTTTTGAATGCTAAAGATGAGTTTTGCGAATGAAGGTTGAGGGTACTGGAATTGTTTCAGAACTAGTTTTGTTTCATTAAGTTTCTGGAATGCTAGCTTAAGATGTTCTAGTCAATTGGCATAAATGTTTATTACTCATGCAAGTGATCAATAACATTTGATCATTAATATTTGTAAAGAGAAAGGTCTGAATCTATCTAATTAAAATATTATTATGCTTCACAATGTTAGCAAAATAAAATTAGGCCGGGGTTGTTCAACACTGGACTGTCCTGTGTCAAACCAGGAAGAGTGTTCATCGGAGAGGCTGCCAGGGGCCTGTGGTCCCAGCATGTCTCCCCACTGTCCCCCACCCCACACGTTACCCACAGGGCCTGTTTTAAAGGGAAGGTGGTTAAACAGGTTACTGAGGACAGCAGAGACTTCGTGGGTCTGAAGTCTGGCAGAGTGCTGGTATCTGTTGTCCATCATCTCCCCCCTTTTACCCAGCCCCTCCAGCTCAGCTTTTAATTAGGAACTGAGGAGTATTTTTTTTTAACAATTGCAAATGTGCAGTGCCTCTCAAGCTTAGAATGTAAAACGGAAAGCAAAGTGTGGTGGAGTTATGACTGCTAATAGTTTTTGATTTTAGGTCTGTCTTACTATGTCCACTAGACCTTTCAAGGTTAATTATTTCATCGCATTATTTTTACAAGACTGTATGTTTTCTGGGGCCAGAACTACTGAGTAGCTAACTAACTACTGAGTAGCTAACTACTACTTCACTGCTGAGTAGCCCAGGAGATTCCTGTTGGAGACTGAAGTGTTACGTGGTGCACTTGCTTGGACAGTTGGAGGTGCCTGAAACTGATGATTTTGGTTAATTTCAAAATTACTTTTCGGGGTGTTTGGCACAAGGATTAAGATGTCATTTGGGACACCCACACTCCCTATAGAGTGTCTGGGTTTGTGTCCTGGCTCCGCTGCTAAATCTAGTTTCTTGCTAATGTACAGGTGTTTGTCCCCCACTGTGGGAGAATTGAATTAAATTCTGGATGACTGGCTTTGGCCTGACCCTGGCTACTACAGCCATCTGGGAAAGTGAATTCACAGAAGAGCATTCTCTGCCACTCTTTCAGTTAATAGTAAAAAATGAATTTTAAAAAATTTGAATTTAAAATACTGCTTTTCATGATAATTTCTGATTTACTACTGTCTGATCTTCCCTGACCTGCATTTTCAATATTCATTTGCCAGGTGGCTTCGTTGCATTATATGAAAATATAAAAGTAGAGCTCTGTAATAAATGTTACTTCCCAAGTGGCCAAATGGGCTTTTCCCACTTAGGAGCGGACTGTTCTGCCTGTGGCGGGTTTCTTCAGAGGAAGGAGAGAGGGATGCAGGCTTGTCCTGTGGGTTCCTTCCAGGAGGCAGGTAGGGGTGGGCAGATGGGTAGGGGTGTGTGGGGAGGAGCACTCTTCTTAGGTCTCAGAGTTCCAAATAAATGGAGTGAGAGAAAACAGAAAAGGTGGGTAGAGAGGAAGTTCAGAAAAGGTGCCACAGTGTGTTAAGGGATTACTTATTACCTAAAATCATGTTACTCCCCTGACCCAAGGCATCAGTACCAGAAATTGGGGGTGTAATCCAGGTGAGTGATGCCTCCCACTAGCCTTCAAGCCCCAATGGCTTAGGAAAAATAAGTATGTTGATTTAAATCTGGGGGTTCTTTATTAAGTGCTTCACAATCAGTATTTAATGGATGCTTTACAGTGATGCAATGGAATGTGTTGGGTTTCTTTTTTTTTTATTTATTTAAGATTTATTTATTTTCATTGCAAAGTCAGATATACAGAGAGGAGGAGAGACAGTGAGGAAGATCTTTCATCCAATGATTCTCTCCCCAAGTGAGCACAGCAGCCGTGCTACCAAAGCCAGAAGCCAGGAGCCAGGAACCTCCTCTAGGTCTCCCACACAGGTGCAGGGTCCCAAGTCTCTGGGCCGTCCTCCACTGCTTTCCCAGGCCACAAGGAGGAAGCTGGATGGGAAGAGGAGCTGCCAGGACCAGAACCGGCATCCATATGGGATCCCAGCATGTTCAAGGGGAAGACTTTAGCTGCTAGGCCACCGCACCAGATCCAGGGAATGTGTTTATAGTATGCATGACATGTTAAATTTTATGTAAGTAGTGCCTTAGGGCAATTAGCTGTCTACTTGGTTAAGAACCCCTGCTTTGAAACTTAGCAATTCAGTAAAAACGTAAAAAGTTCAAATGAATGCTAACAGGCCATTCATTGCTTTTGTGTCTTAAACTTATTTTCCAACCTTAATAAAAAGGTAGCAGGAAATTTGCTGCTTCAACCATTTTGCGTGTCCTCCTTGGGGACAGCGGATTCCCCTTACAATATTGTCAACCTTGGCCACTGTTTTTTAATGAGCTAAGTGGTTTTTCATCATGATTACAGTTAATTAAGTGGACTCAGAATGTGCACCGACAGCTGCCATCTGTAAATCGTGACAGTTGAAGGGCTGAGCCGTAAATCCAACGTGCTTTGGGAGAAAAGGGGTCGCAGTCGGGGTCAGTGGGTTGCTGGGAGCTCCCCTACCCCCACCCCAAACCCTTCCAGTTACTCCCACTTTGGGGCGACCCTGGCCCACGGGGCGCCCGCGGTGCAGGGCCGCGCGAGGCCAGCGAGGGGAGCTGCAGGGTAACTTTTCCCAGGGAAAGCGGCCGGTCGTCCCCACTAGCAGCCACCCTGCCTTTTGTTTGTTTTCCTGCCGGAGGCTGGAAAGCGTCCGGGTTCCTGCTGCTGTAGCATGCGCCGCGCGGCCCGGGCCACTCGCCGGTGCTCCCCGGCGTCCCCGCACCGAGCCCTCGGCCTGTCCTAGCAGGGCTCGCCGGTGCCAGGTCCCGCGCGGGCGGCTGCGCCCCTCTCGCCGCCGAGCTGCGCTCACCGCACGGACGGGCCCCCGCCTGTGTTCGCGGCGCCAGTAAGTGGGGTTCAGGGGAGTTGGGGGGCTGCTGCCGGGTACCTGTCACTGGGGTCGGGGGCGGCCCCGGGCCGTGGGACGGTCTGAGGGCCAGGAAGAGGCTGCTGGGCTGTAGTTTCTCGCCTGCTGGCGTGAAAACTCGGCGCTGGTCGGAGTCTGGAGGATTCTGACGGTGTTAACCTCTTCGTTTTCAGGAGGGGCGAGAGCCTAGGCTGTGCGAAGCCCCTTTTAGGGGGCGTTCTGGGAACTTGCTTATGGAATTTCCTGACTAGGCCCGGGATGTCCCGAAAAGAAAAGGGGTCTGAGCTAGAATCTTCACATACTTCTTTGGAACCATTTTCCACTGATTTTTTTTTTTTTTCTGTTGTGTGCTTTTTTTTTCTCCTTCTCCTTCCTGGTCTGAGTAGATGTTATGAGAAAGATGTGGAAGGGATTTCCGGAACAGTCATTTCTTTTGTCAGGTCAACCTTTGGAAGTTTGTCTTTGGCACTCAGCATTAGGGCTGGTAGGTCAGGTAGCTGGACCGCATCCTCCTGCGGCGAGGAGGGTTCCTTTTCCCTTCCAACTCAATCAAGACTTCTTTTTTGCTACAGCCCAGCTAAGCCAGTGGGTTGCCACGCGGAACTCGGCTCGTGGAGCCGGATTTCACTAAGGTGTTGGCACCTGGAGCACTCTTGTTAGTACTGGAAGTTTGATAGAGTTTCAACATTCTAGTATTTCCCAGTGATTGGGGTTACAGAGAGCGCCCCACCGGTGAATGGTACCATTGCCCATTGTAAAATGTGAATGAGCTTTAAATGTGTGTAGTCAGTGTATAAATTATTAAGAAGAATTTGTGTCCTAGCCATATGCTCGACTGTGCTGGCAGCTAATATATGCGTAAATATGCACATTTGAAATAGTTTCTGAACAAAGCGCTACAATTTAGTGAATCTTTAAGGCCTTCATGTCTGAGAACCAGGAATTGTTAAAACATGAGGAGGCAGTGGGTGTAGAAAGGACAGCAGTTTGGAAATTTTTTTATACCATAATCCACACCCTGTCCACTTTGGTTTTCCTTTTCTATGTAGCTCTGTCCCTTTCCCCAAAGTCAAAACTGGTAGCTGGGCAGGAAGGGGGGCAGCCAGGTTTCTTGGTGAGGGGATTTAGTTTTCAGGGGATACAAGTGTGTATTGGAGAATTGATAGAACTCATGTAGGCAGAACTCTGTCACCCTTGCCAGAGGAGTCAGGATTTGCTGTAGCCTGGACTTTATCCATAATTTCCGGTTACTGTGGCTTCAGTTACTTGCCATCAACTGTGGGTTGAAAATAGTAACTGAAAAATTCTAGGAGTATGCAATTCACTATACTATACGATTACAATTGGTCTATTTTGTTGTTGTTACTCTCTGAATTATGCCTGATTTAGAAGTCAGTCTTCATCACGAGTGTGTATGTGTCGGGAAACACATAGCATAGGTATGGTTTGGTAATGCCAGCGGTCAGGCCAACGTGTGCCCTGGATAAGGCTGGGACAACTGTCGTCACAAGGAAATGATGTTTCTCACTGAAGCTTCTTCCCTGCTATGTATAAACCAGCTACCAGGATAGCGAACAGGCCATTTGGGGTTTTATTTATTGAAAGCTCAGCGTCATCACATCCCTTTTTATACTCTGTGTTGTATTATCATTTCTTTGTGAAGTTTCTAGTGAAGGTGGAAGTTATGTCAATCTTGAAACTCTGGAATGATCTTTAGCCATCTGTTCCTTCATTTCCTTCATCCTTTAAATCAATGAGTCATAAAGACCTTTGATATGTGTTTTTTTCTTTCTTTTCTATATAAAGCTTTCCCTCTGTACTCTAACCCAGGACTCAAACCCTTCCTCTGTTGGAATACCAGAACAGCCTTTGTAAGCCGGGTTCTTGGAAGGTTCTCACTGACGGTTTGTCCAGCGAATGAATGAATCAATAATTGAGAAATTTGCCTCTCTTTTTAAAATAATTGCTTCCTTTTATCTCTCAACTGGTCTTGCAACCTGCAGTTCCTTTCCATGACCTGTTATCTCAAATCTAAACTAGTGTGCATGGTTTTCTAAAGCCCTTCTTAATAAGCCTCACCCTCCCTATCTGAAATTCTATTTTTCGATCTTCCTATCTCTTTGCTGCCCAGTGCATTTTGCTCTTCCTGAAGGGGCCAGCCTAGTGCCCCTGGAACATCACTGTTCCCTAGTGCTGTCCCAAGAAGCCCTCCCAATCTCCTGGTGCAACTTGTACCCATCCTGGGAGGAGGAACTGAAGCCCTAGTTCTTTCATAGCGCCTTTCCCAATCACGTGTTCTCACCTCTTTCTTTAAAGGCTTGAGATACTTGTTTGTTTTTGGTTGGTTTCTAGTTGGCTTATGTTATTTTTATTTAAAGATTTATTTTATTCTTATTGGAAAGGCAGATTTACAGAGAGGAAAGATAGGGATAAAGATCTTCCAAAGACTGGTTCACTTTGCTGATGGCCAAAATCAGGAGTCAGGAGTCCCCTTGGGGTCTCCCACATTGATACAGGGTCCCAAAGACTTGAATCATGCTCTACGGCTTTCCCGGGCACAAGCAAGGAGCTGGATGAGAAGTAAAGCAGCCAGGACATTAGCCACCACCCATAGTGGATGCCAGCTTTTACAGTTGGAGGATTGGCCAATTGAGCCATTGCATCATTCCCCTTCCCTGACCCAGCTTGCCCTATTTTAAGCCTTTTTAGAACAGAATGCTTGGACCTGGCACAATGGCTTAATCAGCTAATCCTCAGCCTGCAAGCACCAGGATCCCATACAGTACCAGTTTGTGTCTGGGCTGCTCTACTTCCTATCCAGCTTCCAACTTATGGCCTGGGAAAACAGTGGAGAACGGGCCAAAGCCTTAGGATCCTGCTTGATAGAACTGGAAGAAGCTCTTGGCTCCAGTTGCTGTGGCCACTTGGGGAGTGAACCAGCAGATGAAGATATTCTCTCAGTCTCTCTTTTTCTCTGTAAATCCACCTTTTCAATAAAGATAAACAAATGTTTAAGAGGAAAAGAAGAGGCCATAGTTTATGCATGGTAATTTGGTATTGGAGTTTTGGAGTCAGGCAAATTTGTGCACAGAGCCTGTTCCTCATCAGTCACATGGTAGTGTAATCTCCTGTGTAAGACGGGGAAATGCTTGCCCAGCTGGATGTGGGGAGGAGATGGGCTGAGGAACCAAGTCAGGACTCGGGAGCTGTTGTGCTTGACCACGTCCTGCTCTCCCACCGACTGTGACTAGGGCAGTCCTGAGCAGTTGTTGCCTGGCCTTTTGTAAGTAGGCCACTAGTCATGGTTCAGCCTGGCAGCCCAGAGGCCTGGGGGTAACCAGGCACTAGAGCCTTCCGAAGTATTATCCTGGCTGTACTCAAAATGGCTTGAGCTTAGGTTATTCCTGGCTACAGCTCTGCTTCTGGGATCTGTTGCTGTTTTTCCATCCGAACCTTGCCAGGAACATAACTACCTTAAATTTTTTTTTTCTTTTTTTTTTTAACTGAGGCTCTTGTGGCAAGCTCCTTCATTTCATTCTGTAGGATCTGGCTGATACTCAGCCCATCTGTTTGTCCTGTCCCTTGTAAGAAGCTTTTCTCTGATTGTGGGGTATGTGTGAGTGCATGTTCTTGTGGAGCACTACTTACCTCTTCACTTCCTGGGGCATAATTCTGTGTAGAATGGCCTTTTTGTGTGTGTGCACACAGCAGAAAGCCTGTCATGAGCATGTCACTTCACTGTCGGCCCCTTCAGCAGTCCTCAGTGGTCACAGCGTTCTGAGAAAGGTCTGTGACTGAAGTATCAGCAAACTGTCCATCTGTGGGCCTTAGTGTCTGTGGTTAATTGAGAGACTGTGTCCCGCACAACCTAAACACATACTGTTCCAAGGTCATAACGTAATTGTGTCCTGGTATGTGGTTCTGTTGGCCTTTGAAATACAGCTCTAGCTTTCTTATCAAAACATATGCATTCCAAAAAATTCCCTCCTAAAAAGGATTTCGAGAAACCAATCATTTCTGGGGCAAACTACATAAAAATGCCAAGGAAGGAGTGTGGCTGGAAGAAAATCAGAGGTGACTTGACTAGCAGCCGGGGAAGGAGTAAAAGAAGCAGTTCACCTTGGGGTGGTAACTGAGGTTGAGGTGGGCATTCACACTCAGTCTGTCCGATGTCAGGAAATTGCTCCTCAGGAGAGAACTGTTGTGCTTAAGCAGAAAGCTTCCATTTTTGCCTTGATTCCAGGGAAGCTGCACGTGGCTCCCAGGGTTTGGAAAGTTGATATCTTCATAGGAAATGTTCTGTTGACACCTCTCACCAGGGCAGGCTGCAGCCGTACCCTGTGCATGTTGATTTGCGAAACTGTGGCCAAGACTGAAGAAAGCTCATCTTCATAGACCTACATTTTTATGTTTTTAACATATATGGAGTCAGGATTAGTAAAATATTGATGTCTCTTGCAAAGGAGGAAATAAGAAGCACTTGATACAATTTTTGCAGATCATAAAACATGTAATACTCATGCATTAAAAAACATACACTCCTCTGTAGATAGCAGATATTCTGTTCTGATTGGTCCGGAGTTCTTCTGTGAAGTGAAGCTGTTGAATAATCATTAAATTCCCTTATAGAGGAAAAAGTGTTCTAATTCTATAAAATTAAGTAAAACTCCCTCAATGAGTCCTAATGAATTAACTTTCACTTAACTATTATTTTTAATGTTTACCCTATATATTTTTAAAGATACATTTTTCTTTGAGCAACAGATTTCATAGAAAGGGAAAGAGAAAGAGAGAGAGAGGTCTTCTGTCTGCTGTTTCACTCCCCAAATGGTCATAATGGCCAGGGTGGAAACAATCCAAAGCCGGGAGCCAGGAGCTTCTTTCCAGGTTCCCACATGGTATAGGGGCCCAAGGACTTGAGCTATCCTTCACTGCATGCAGTATGCAAATGCTGCAGGCAGAGCATTAGCCAATTGTGC